AACTATATTTTAATTTTCATACATAAATACTTTAATTCAGAATCTATTTTTGAAAGAATGAAAACTTTAGTACAAATAGTTTTTGAGTTATTAATTAAAAACCATAATATAGTCGCATTACTTCTACGTTTCATGAAAGAAATTTTTAACAATTGTTATTAATTAATTACTTATAAACCAATCAAGTTATCTTTATGCTTCCTTCACAGGTTTATTCATTATTAAATTCTACATCGATTAATCAAAAGATTTTATTGATAACAATGTTTAATCAATAATTATACGCAAATTAATATCAAAATTATAATTTTTTCACAAAATCCTACTTTAAACATGAATAACTGTTTATACAAAGCACTAATTAACCATATTTTAATTTTCGTATATGAATAATTGAATTCAGTATCTATTTTTGAAACAATGTCAACTCTACTGTAAATAGTTCGGGAGTTATTAATTAATAACAATTAATATTCAACTAATATTTAATCCTTTGTTGAAATCAATTATTGTCCAGTGCAAACACGCTTTATCTCAAAATATAAATAGAATTTCACAAATAAATGGAAACATTTTCAATTTATATCTATATATCAAAAATATGATGCACGAAACAAAATGGCGGCCTTAGAATAAATTGAAGGATTTATTTTTCGCCTCCTACGTCGTGCTGTTTGATGTGCTGACGATCGGTTTCGTTAGCAACCAATCCTTGCTGAAACGCGCTGAATTCGTGAATGGAAAGCTCGACACGTAATGACTGATGGAAACATTGAAAGACCCGCCGCCATCAATCGATAATTTCATTCTCGCCTACGGTTTTTCAATTCTCTCACTTCTCACGGTTAAACGCTAGCAAATTCGAATATCTGCTTAAATATATATTTTACCAAAGAATGTAATGTCAACGTAACACAACGGAATAATCAGCCGTTCAAGAGTTAATTAATTACGATGAACTCGAGTGTAATGAGTGCCTCAAAGCAAATCAGATGATCATTGTAGATTAATTGAAATTTTAATTAATTAATCAGTAACTTTAAATTTCTTTTTTGATTTTGGATAATTTATTTCAAAAATTGTCTTGCAACAAGGACTTCTGCAAGGATAAAAGTAAAAATCATATTTTTCTTTTCTTAGAACCTCCGCAGCAATTTGTTATGAAGGATTTTTCAATCCCAAACCCGAATGGAATATTATCCTCTTTTGTAAACAACTTGTTAGATCTATGATCTTAGATCGTATACCAACCCTCAACACAACAACTATATTCCCATTTGTTTGTCCTTGCAGATAAATCTTATCACGACGAAATCTCAAATCTTAAAAATTAAAATTAATCGTTCTATTTTGAGCTATAAATAAATGCTGTGTTTTTTGTGTTTGGGCGAAACACTCGGGAAATTATTAAAATTACATTCGACGTGAAAAGGACACGTAGGACACGCGTCCGCGTGCGCAGCACGCTAATATTCAGCGCGATTTACGCCGCGGGTGGTTGACGAGACGTTTTCATCGCTGAATGTCTTAATTTTCATTCAGAATTAGTTCGTTTCCAAATAATCACTATTATTATTACATATAATATTTAGAAAATTTATTACAAACCGAAAAATTATGCATTTTTACTTTGGCCAGCGCTTTCATTGGTTGAAATTCGTGTGTTGATGAATAAAATGCTTGAAACATTGTCAAAATATTCATGTTCAAGTTATATTTAAAACGAATCTATTTGTACGCTCATTGCCGGAACTTACTGCGCGTTGCATTCGCTGCCAAAAGCACTTAGGGCAAAAATGCAGCATCACAATATGTATGCAATGAAACTTTTGGTACATATTTTATGTACTTTACTACAAATGAATATTATTTTGGTTTGTTTGTGGTGTGTTATTTAGTTATTATCTGGAAATTTATTATCGTTTTGTTTTAATTTGTTTGCTGGATTATAAACACGTGTATTGATAAAATGTATAAATAATAATAATAATCAAATTCAATTAGCGTTAAATTTTAGTGTAATCAAATGGAAATTGAATGAAATGTGTAGGTAACTTGAATATTATTCGATGCTTTTAATTAGTACAATACTTACATTACGTACTTACAGAGAATTCGGAAATTTGAGCTTTAGGAAAGCTTACAAATGAAAATACAAAATAATGAGCAATGAAATGTTATATAAGCACGTTACTATGGGCCTGTCGGAACTTCGCATAGGAATAATTGAAGAATGTTTAAAATTTAAAAATTTATTGGACATGTGAATTATTTTTCTAGAAGTTTATCTATTTTATTCAAATAATTGCTTCATATTATTATGCATTATTAGAAATGTGATATTTATTGGTTTTTAATTAATAACTCGGAAACTATTTGCACTAGAATGATGAATCTTTCATAAATTGATTCAGAATTAGTGTTTGCATATAATTATGCAAAAAAATATGTAAATCGTAATTATACACAGAAAGTTATAAACAATTAAAGTTGATATTTGGTTTATAAACAGAAATTTGACATTTCTTTCTTTTTTAATTAATAACTCATAAACTATTTGCACTATATTGATGTTTCTTGTATTAATTGATTCAGAATTAAATTCTCCATATCACTGTACAATAATTTTGTCAAACGTAATAATACACTAAAAGTTACAAGCAATTAAAGTTGGTAAATAGAAATATAACTAAAATTACCAGCTAATCGGCTCATCTAGACATTATCTACAAAATTTTATTAAAATCGACCAGCCGTTTTTGAATTAATCGAACATATACACACGCACATTCATTTTTTTTTATGCGATATGGTAACAAAAAGTAATTTACGCCTGCGCAATAACATTTAAGCCATTATTCAATCGCGCTTTCATCTGTACGCATCTATGGCTACGAAAATAAAATAATTTATTATCACAATAATTTGTCTGGAATGAACCACTGCCGAATTTCAGCACGATCCAGCTTTACGATCGTGCCGGCGGCTCTCCTGCCGCCGCCTGCTGACCTTTCCAATAGTTTCGACGTTAACTGATTTCGTCTGCGCCAATCGCGAAACGCAAACATCATACATCAAACATCAGTATAACAACACTCTGCACACACATACACACACACACACACACACACATATATATATATATCTACACTAAACAAACACCGACGCACGTAATGTCGACTTTTATTACGTGCTTCAATAAAAAACAATAAAAAAAGATCAAGCCAGACATGGTCAAAGTCATCAGGATGATTCAACCAAACATCAAAACACAAATTATAAAAATAGATAAAAATTTATACAATTTGTGCAGAAATTAATTATTGTACATTTGCTTGTTGTAGATTTAATCATGAGCAGCATGGATAGCGGGGATTGCGAGACAGAAGAAGATTCAGCCCCCGAGGCATGCGTTTCACCCGGAGGTTCACAGCTTCCAAGGTAAGTCGTCGAAAAAATATTACGTAATTAATTAGAATTATAATTATGTAAAAACAATTTAATTTGTTTATGCTACACCACAAAATATTATTTTATTAATAATTAGGTAGATGAATTGATTTATCATTGAGATTTATTTAATTTATTTTATATTTGCAATTTTTCAATGAGTTACTTCTTTGAGTATTTATTGGTAAAAATGAATTTTAAGAGCTTTTTGTTGCTGGGCTTTCCGACGGTGTTTATTTGTATTATTCTTCATGTTGGACGAAGAATATGTACTGTACTAATGTACACGGTACGATGTTAATTACAGTGGCATAAATTCACGGACACGAAACGCAAAAACGAACCGAAAACGAAAAAGCGAAAAGAGTAAGCAAATAAGATTCAATAATAAAAGAAAACAAGGATTAAATAAATAAACAAGTAAGAATAACGAGAAAAATGTTCAATATGCTCCGCCCACTTTACTTAAGCAAGGGATTCATTTTGTTTGGTTGAAAATGTGACAGGATGCAAGAATAAAAGGATATTTTTAGACAGAAGTTATGAATATTCGAGTATAACTCGACAACAATTTATTTCATATCTTAAATTTTTGAGGATAATTATTTGGTATGAAATTCGAGTTTAAAATGAAGAAATTTGAGTGATATTTGATTTTTATCAAAAGTTACACACATTTTTAGGTTAATTTTCTAAAATTTTAAAAACATCAACTTTAATTGCTTGTAACTTTTAATGTATTATTACGATTTACAAAGTTCTTGAGCAGTTACATGCAGAATTTAATTTTGAACCAAATAATATAACAAACATCATTATAGTGCAAATAGTTTATGAGTTATTAATTAAAAAGGAATAAATATCATATTTTTTATCTTCATTCTTTCAACATCATCTTTAATTGTTTATAACTTTTTCTGTATTATTACGATTTACATGTTTTCTGCATAATTGTATGCAGAATTTAATCCAGAATCAATTTATGAAAAATTCATAATTCTAGCGCAAATAGTTTTCGAGTAATTAATTAAAAACTAATAAATATCAAATTTCCACTCTTACCCTATACCTAAACATGCTTATTATGCCATATTATGCACATTAATAACATAATTTTATCCACCAATTCTTTAAACTGCAACTTTACACACTCTAACAACAAATTTCTAATTACTTACAAAAAATGCGCTTGAACGTTGATCCGTCGCGTCGCCAGACATGTTGCGCGCCGTTGTTTGTCTACTTACGTCCACACTGTATGCGCTCGCGTTTTGTTTCGCGCGCGCCGGCGTCCGTGAAGCCAGTGCAAGCGCGAATGTGTCTGTGTAGATTAGAGTCCTTGGTGTATCAGAGTCCGCATCATCGGTTCAGTTGCGTGGAAACAGCGGCGCGGTTCGGCATCGTTCGTCGTTGTCGCGTCGTCGTCCGAGTATAGAGGAGCATAGCGGTAGCAGGAGCCAACAAGCGCAGTTCGCCGATTCAAACACCCGACACTCGTCCCGCCAGTCGCCAGTTTCAATTCGAGCGCGACGCGAACGTGTGTGTATATTAAATAATAATAAAAAAAACAACACAAAACACACATATGTGTGCATGTATTTGATTTCGTCAGCGTTTTGCTCAACTCGCGCGCTTTGGAAAACATTCACACTCAACTAAAACAAGTTTGTAATAAAAATTCAACAATTTTTTCTCGAACTTGCGGCGCAAAGTCAAGTGTTGTCCTTGGTGGAGGTGCCGATTGCCGTGTGTTCTACAGGTGGCTGACCGAAAAGAAAATGCCACGAACTGTTTACACAAAATATTGAGTTTTATTTTTTACTCACCGATTGGATTATGTGGGTGTATTATTATCACAGTGATTGGGATTAAATAGAATACAATCAGGAAGAAATCATGTCGTGGAATGATCAGGGGGCGAGCACCGCCGGCGGCGGTGGTTATGTGACAAATGGCAACTGTCACACAACGTACAATCCTCCGATGAACCACTATATGAACATGCTCGATCAGACGTGGTACAACGACATGTTGGCGGCGAATTACAATTCGATTGCGGACCAATCGTCTAGGTCAGTTACAAACACACAACATAACCTATAATATAATATTACACATCAACGCCATCTATCGGTTAAAAAAGTAATTAAAATTTGTTTTATTTTTTGTTTTATTTTGTTTTGAAGTGAATTATTATTTGTTTTGCGCTCGAGACGTCTCGGATGTGTTGTATTATCAATTATTTATCACATGCATAATGCATGATTGTATCCTGTTTCTTGGTACAGAAAATTTTTATTTTATTTGTAAGTTACGACGTTTTCTTTGAGATTTGCTTATAAAATTATTCGTCATTTGTTTTCGTAGAAAAACTGAATTAGATACGTAAACATCTCCGTATGTAAAATGGTTGTTTAAATATAAAACGTGAATGTTATCTTATTAAATCTATCAAAAATCATTGATTAAATCCAGCATCCAAATTCAATTGGTGCATGCGCCGGAGCATCGATATAAATTCACGTTTCATGCGATCGAGATGAATCTTTTGATCAACACTGCGAAGTGCAGTATGTATGATATCGCGATGGTATGCTTATCGCGAAGTTTTCATGTCTGGCCATGGTTTTGCGATAGCACAGATAAAACGTATTGCTAATTATATACGATTCACCCTTCGCATTTTTCTGAAATAATATATTTCCAATGAAAAGCGATGCACTTGATTACATTATGCGTTGTGTGTGATCCGAATGTCCTGAAAGTGACGCGAGTGTTCTTTATCGGCACAACACGTTCGAGTGTTTATAAACAATAATGTCGCTGCGCGATAATAATATTTATCCTTTTGCATTTTCACGGAAATGCAACGGGTTCTTGTAGAAAGGTCATGGAAAAGGTCAAGACGCGATGCAGTTTGCACATATAGGTACAATAAATACACTCTCGAGTTGATAACATTGCGACGCAATAGAATTTTCCGTTAGATTTTATATCAAATCTCAACAGACAATATTTTGTTTAGAAATGTGAAAATATTAGATTAAATCCGCCTAGATTTTTATTTTTAAAAATGCGGAATTTGTTATAAAAGTCCTAATTTTAATTTAAATTTAAATTTTTCTCCGTAAAACTTTCATCCCTTATTTCACACCTTTTTACTAAAATTTTTGCAACAAAAAGTAGCTTATATTCTTTTCCATAATCTAAACTATCTGCACTCCAAAATTTATCGAAATTACTTGAGTGGTTTTTGCTTGAAAGCGTCAGAAACGAACAAATTCACATTTGCATTTATACCTAATATATTATTAGGATTCTACGGATGTAATTTGTGTGGCCTAGATGCATTTTTTCTGGTGTTTTTGTATTGCTAAAGCACACTTCGCACATATTTTCCACTCTAAATTAAATCGAATGTTTTGCCGTCGCCCAGACCTCTCCACTGCGTCGAATCATGTCTAGGTTGGCCTTCAGACTCGCTGGCCACTTTATATTAACCTACTGGTTTGAGCTGGCTGCCGACGGCGACGGCGGGATGACGTGTTCTAGGAAACTAATAATATCGCGAACGAATAGCACGCACTCGCCATCCCAGGCGAAGTGATTCGCGAGAAAAACTTCCCGGTACATCCTAATAGCACGATAATAAACTTTGACACTGCAATCTCGGCCACACGCACAACACACAAGAATTTTTATAGACTACTCGTGCATATAAGCCACACATAACCTAAATTTAGTTCCTAACTTATTATACTTTATACGTTTTGCAAAAATTATGGCGAATAGGCGACGAAAACGAATGCAGATTTAAGTTTTGGCAGCGTTTTAATAAAGTACATTTCAGGTATGAGAGAATTAGGATTATTTATTACTGTAGCAGGATGTTTGGCGAGACATTCACGTCGCGAATAAAACTTGAAATTTATGCATCTATCAGCGCATAAATAATAATAAATAAAAACACCGCTAGATTTTTTTGATTCATCGAGTTTTTTTTTTTCGTTTGGGTGGGATTTCGCGACCGTGAGTGCCTTGAACTCGCCGCCATGCTCATTTATATAAGCATCGAATAATGAACTGTGAACGACGGTCACAGGTGTGCTCCACAAACATGGCAAGCACATTTTAGCCGCTTTAATTTTTTTGGATTCAACGCAAATTAGGAGGTATATTGCATATTAAGTATGGAAAGGTAGGAAAGTGACGGGAATTGACGTAAGTTTGGGGGTTAGGATAATGTTAAAGGTGGCTTCTGTTTATAAAGATTAATAATTTGAATAACTACGAAAGGAGAAATTTATTTTCATGTATTTCTAAAACTTAAACTAATTTCTATTTGATTATAATCACATTTGTTATTGATAAAACATGAATTTTCACAAAAATCATGTTGAGATGTTTTAACATTTATTTTCTTGAAGTTTTCGAGTATTTAATAGGTATTCTGCTATTTGATGTGAAAGAAAATCAAAAATAATTGAATATTATAAAAATCCGAATTTTCTTCTGCTACACTAACACAGATGGCTTTATTTTTCACCCTTAACCACAATGAATATACCTAACAAACATACATAACCTTAAACTATTCTATTTAAAAGTAATGCAATTGCAAACAATTTTCCCATTTTAATAAAATCTAAAGTTTACATCTCCAAAATATCAAAATCAGGTGAAATTAGTAGTTATACCCAAAATAATGCATGAAAATCATAAAAAATCCAACATTTCCATAAACAATAAAAGAAAAAAAAAACTGATACTTACACGAAACTTAATGATTGTTACTAATACCAGTCACGTAACTAACAAAAATTCTCAAAAAACCCGACGATAACACAGTAAAACTTGAATATTAATAAATAGATGAGCTAAATATCGCTGCGTTCCGTGAAAAACCTTCAAACTTTTATACTGATCGTTTCTAAAATGTAAAACACATATTTTACCAACTCGACTCATCCTTGTTACACGGTTACATTGTGTATTTACAGAGTTGTGTGTTTATTGTTCGCTTTTATACGGCGCGCTCACGGTTTGCTCACTACTTAGCACGTTAAGTAAGTTCCATTAGAATATTTGGTGCACCTTACGCGCGGATTCTACTCGGCGGCGACGCGCCGTAGACGAAATCTTTAAATATTCGCCTTGACCTATACTAACTGGCGTGCTAGTAACACATTTGTATTTCATTTTTTTCACAGACTACCACGTCTAAAATCAATTTTATTCAGGACTAAAATTAGATTAAACTGAAAGTTTTTATGAAGAAATTTTAGATTTTTTGAGGTTATGTTGTATTTGGAATGGGTTAGGACACTGCGCCGTCGTGTAACCTAGGCCACACACGTCACAGATGTTAATTTACTTACACATTACATACGGTTATGTAACTAAACGCTCGACATGTTTTAAAGATGTTTCTACATGGAATAAAACACACATTGATGTAATATTTTCTAAATATTTTACTGTCGCCATCTATGGGATATTTTAAGACTCATTCATCGCATGAATAGTTTTAAATTTAGATTTTATGAAAAATAATCAATATCCTCGCATGCACATCGCGCACATTGTTACAATTCTCGTCGAATTGCGCAGCAGGATTGCTTGGAAAAACAAGTTAGAACAAAAACCAATCGCCTACACTTTGACGGCTACGCCCTGAAGCTTTAAATATGCAGCGGGTTGCTTGTTTTTTATTCTCGCCCCCGTTCTATGTCTTCCCTTGTAGGCAGCTAGGTCACTGCGGTTCGTGGTAACCTAGGCTGAGGGAAAAACAGAGGAAATGCGACGAGGTGCGCTTATTATCCTACTTGCTGCTCGGATATCGTCGATAGTATATGTTATGCAACGCGAGTACTACTCGAACGGATGCGGCATGAATAAGTTATATCGCGCTGATGTCGGAATTTCATATTGCAATTTAATTTTCAAACGCGCAGGAAAATATTTATTTTATATATAGGTTTTCCGTATGAAAACTGTCAACGTAATTGTTATTTATTCAATGAAAATATGGCACTTATTAAAAATGCATCTAATAATATATGGATGGAAATGCGTAAATTATTTTAACTGACAATTTGAAACATCGTTGAGTGTATAGAAATGACAATTGTAACGTTGGAGGCAATTAATATACGCTGAACGATGCAAATTCAATGTTTTGCCGATTGCAGTCGCGGTAATTATTATTACACCGACGCGTACGCCCGCTGAGTAAAACACACGCACGATGCAAATTAATTTTATCTATTTTTATAATTTGAATGTTGCATCACGCCAGCAACATTGCTGACTGTCGCGCCAAGTCCGTATTTAGTTGCATTGCTGCCATCAATCTGTCTGCGCTATGCACGGGGGTAATTTAAGGGGCACACCTAGTGTGAAATTTTCAAAAAATCGAAAATTTTTTTTTACCATATTTCGATAGGTTATACCTTTATAAATGACATACTAAAATTTTAGCTTGATATCTGAAATAGTTTTTGAGTAACAGCCATTTGAAAGAGTAGCCGCTCGGCAGTTAGATAGTTGCATTTTATCTTTAAACGTGTTTTTCTCGAAACAGCATTTTTCGAATTTGCTGGCATGATTACTTGAAGACAAATGATCCGATCGCTATCAAATTTTTTTTGCATCTCCTCTATATAGTTCTCCATACAATGACCCTCCAATTTTATGATCTGATTAAAAATCGAATTTTGACAGGCAAAAAACGACCAAAATTTTGGGAAAAATTTAACTTTTTTATTCAAAATGCCGCCATTTTGTCAATTTTTGATTTTTTTGTTCGCCCGAGGGTCATTGTATAGAAAATATGTTTTAGTTTAAGAAGAATTCTTTCTGTTTGGTTTTATCGACGGAGAAGGCTGCAATCACGCCAGCAGTGGAGGACCTTTTTTCTTTGGCGCCGCCGGAGATCGCGTATCATTTCAAAACTAATTAATATTTTATTTCAAAAAATTTACTGTGTATTCACAAAACATGTATAAATGTACCCTCAAAATTTTAAATAGGTGGATTCACTAGTTTCCTTTATATTTAATTCCAAAAAATGGCCATTTTTTAAGTCGTAACACTAGGTGTGCCCCTTAATGTAGAATATTTGAAGGTTAAAATTATATACTGAGATCTAGCGCCATCTCAGGGGGGAAATATAATCATAACTCTGATTTATTCTTTATTTTAACTTTCATTCCTTATTTCCTTATGCTCTTTTCCATACTTAAATCTATCTTTTCACAAAATTTTATCAAAATTGGTTCAGTAGTTTTTGCGTTAAAGTGTAACAAACATCCATCAATTCCCAACAAACTTTCGCAATGCATTTAAATCAACCGAAAAGTTTATTTTTTCAAGTTAAACAATTATTTTTCTGTGTGAAAGTGTCACAGATCAATAAAACAGACACCACTTTGTTTGTGTTTTGACATCTTCTTTATTTTAACACCAAACATTATTGTTTTGACTAGAAACTTCTAAAAATATTGCCAAAAATGATTGAAAATATTGCCTAATGAACTTTAAACACTTGTTATTTCAGCTGTGTCTAAATATCACACATAAACAAACAGTGTTATATATTTTTCTAATACTATACACGTGGAAATTGTATAAATTGATTAATTATAAACCAAATGTGTGCAAAATTGCTAATGCACCCAAAATAAAACTTTACGAACATTTTGTTACAACTGATAAGTGATACCGCCGTAAATTTAAATAACAAAATACATTATTACATTTCAATGACGTATTTTAGAATTTTCCGCCTATAATTTATGGTTTGAAACACGAAAAAATGTTAAACGAAAATGTTTCGAATTATTCAACAAGAAACCAAAAATCATTTATGCGGAATTATTACGTCACAACTCAATTAATTAATGTTTTTAATTCGTTGTCAAGTGTCAACTCGTCAACTGTACTGTAAGTAAAGTCAATGCGTACAAAATTGTGCGTTACTGTACGCATGATACGCGTACTTGAAGAGCGGAGCATATCAGCAGCTGGATGTTTATCTGATTAATTCAATTTAATGTAGGTCAAAAAGTGAAAAATGGCGCTTGCGCCATCATCATGCACTCATTCACACTCTCAAAGTCAAATTTTAGATTATTTTTAAGCTTCTATGAATTATTTCTTGGTTTTTTTATATTAAGCTTAAAAATAGAAAAAATCAAAATGGCGCCTGCTTGGTGCACTATGCATCAAACGCACAAATCATTCACCATTCACCACAAATTGATCTAATTGAAAACGCTCATAAAACTGGTCGTTAATGGATTATTAATGTCGCCTCGAGTGTCCGTGACGACATTTCAATAAGGTCCCACTAGTTGTTCGAACATTCGGAACTACTTGACAGCTCGCGTAATTCAAACAACAAATAACAAGCAATCGGTAATAATCTCAATACGAAATTTACATCATGCATGAGCATGTAATTAACAACATCGCCGGCATCAAGAAAATAATAATTGGTTAAGCTTTGCTTCTCAATTGAGCGGCTGATTGAATAACTAGTGTGCTAGCATAACAAGACATCCCCCTGGAGCAATTAAACGTCGACGATATGCGTAACATTTAGCTAATGAACTAATACACACGGAAACCTTACGCTACTGCATACGAGTAGAATCACAAAGGATGACTGGATGACTAGGAAGTTATTCAACGCTAATCAGCATTCAAGATTTTCCCAGATTGTTCGCGGCCGTTAAATTTGTTGTTTGATGCGCCAGCGTCCGGTTGCAAGATGGCGGGCGGCGAGCGCGAAGCGCACTAGTTGTCATCTTGTCATGGCTGACCTAATTCGAGCGGGAGTTTATCGCGGCCTTTGTTATTTTACGAATGCAGCCGCGGATTCCGGTCACTCGGATAAAATGTTACGCAATTGCCATAACAAACCGTTTATTATCAAGGAACTGCAACATGATGAGTTGGAATTTTATTTTTAGGTTATGTTGGGTTAGACATGGAATTATTTTAGGTTTTGCACGCGCAGAATTTTTTTAAAAGCAGTTTAATGCTATTAATGCTATATATTATTTTTAAAAGATCAGAAAATGCTAAGAGTGCACTTTTGCGCCATCTTGACTTAAATTTTGAAGCCAAAACTTTGATAAAATCTCCATTCCAACTTTTATTCTTTGTTTTACACCGTCTAAGTCAAATATTTGCAATAACAAGTAGTTTACTTGCTTTTGCTTGGTTAAAATTGGTGGTTTATGCGCAAAATCATCAAAAATAAGCTATTTCTCGACATAGGCAACCAAAGTTACATTAAATTAATTTCTCTTCCATTTTTCTTTGCAGTAATAGTCGAGAGCAGAGAAATAAGGCTGAAAAGATGCGACGCGACAAGTTGAACTACTACATATCGGAGCTGGCAGGACTGGTGCCATTGATCTCCACAAGTCCCAAACGCATGGACAAAACAAGTATCCTGCGACTGACTGCAACACATCTTAGAATCTACCAAAGTAATTAATTTTAAAATAAGCTCTTCATTTTGACTGTATACTACTTATTAATTTATTAATATTAATTTTCCAGCATTAGTAAACGGCAATTGCGAACGTATGAATATGCCGCGTGAAATCGACCAGATTGTGCTGGAGAACTTGGTTTGTGAGCAACTCGGCGGGTTTCTCATGATCCTCGCCGGTAACGGCAAGGTGATATTCGTTTCCCCTACGGTGGAGAATATATTAGGACATTTACAGGTATAATACACCTAAAAGTATAGAAAACATGTATTATTATTGAATTTTATTCATTGCAGACTGATTTAATGGGGCAATCGGTCTTCAACGTGATCGCCCCGGATGACCAAAGCCGATTTAAGACTTACCTTCGCACAGACCTCGTTACAGAGTCGGATTGGAGGAAGTACTTCAACCTGCGGCTGCGGCGCGCTGGACCACGCAGTGAATCCCCTGTATATGAAGCCATTGAGGTGATGGGTGTCAAGCAAGTGACGCGGAGTCACCTCCCTGAAGCCGAGTCCCATTCAAGAGATTTACAAGCGGTGAATACCGATGTGAGTTCAGCTACAATCAAAATTTAAATATTTATGATTAACGTGTGATTCATTTGTTTAGATGTGGGTATTCTTTATGCGTCTAAATCGTCCCGAACCAATCACGGATCAACTGATGGAAGCCAGTAAAGACGAGTACGTCACGCGGCATTTGATCGACGGACGAATCATCAACTGCGACCAGCGGATCTCTTTCATTGCCGGTTACATGATCGAAGAGGTGTCTGGCCTCACCGCATTCAAATTCATGCATCGCGATGACGTCCGATGGGTGATGATTGCGCTAAGGCAAAGTAAGCACACGCCGCCATTTTGTTTCATGTATTTTACGTCTTAATTGACTGCAATCTGCGTCGCATTTAAGCTAATTCAGCGTAATTCTCATTTATCAGCGCATTAACTCGGCGATAAGTAGTTTTCTTTGATTGCACGACTTGCATATGAGTTTTCATCGTGCATCGTGCGCCGGGAAATAATTGCAAAGTTATGCAACTAATTTGTGGCGTGGTATGCCTATTTATAAATGACCTTAGAAATGCAGCTCGGGATCATATAAACAACTTTATTATTGAACTGTGTGCGGCGTTGTTATTCGCTGATTGTTTGTCTACTAGACTCTTCAATCATAGTTTTCGATAAAATGTTGCTTATAGAAATCGTAAACTGTTCATATTTCAACTGATAACGCGCTTATCTCACCAAAGTGCAAACCGTCAAACTAACAATTTTTGCATATCTAGTTTAATTTCTAGAAATTTTATTTTGTATAGGCAACCAAATACACACTAAACTAATCATTTTTTGTTTGTTTTAGTGTACGACAAAGGTGAAGCGAGAGGAAACTCTTGTTACCGATTATTATCACGGACAGGACAGTTTATCTACCTACGGACGTATGGTTTCCTCGAAATTGACTCAACAGGCATCGTAAAGAGTTTCATTTGTGTAAATAAACTCGTCACGGAGAAAGAAGGCGTCAAACTCATCACCGAAATGAAGCAACGATATTCTCCGTTGGTAAAATCCTCCCCACCTCAATTACAAGTAAGTTTTGTTAGTGTTGATAAGAATATTTGATGATTTATCGAATAATTCTTTATAGTTGACAAATGAAGAAGCGACTGGAAGTGTAGAAGATCCTATGGAGTTAGAGGAGGCAATCGCGACGTTATTGTCGAACTTACCGTCCCCGGATTCGGAAACCTCCGATCAAACAACGCATGCGTCTAGCGATGGTTTGCGCGATTGTCCGTCAACACCATCCGCTGGCAGCATGTCGCCATGCGATACCTCGTCAAACGCGTCCTCTCACCCACCGTTACCACCACCGTCAACAGGCAAAACCATACCGAAGCGCCCGCCTAGCGTTGACCCAACAGCGCCGCACAAACGCATCAAAATCGAAGCGCCAGTGCAGGTGACGTCGCCGGCGGCGTACAACCATCGGCAACAGCGGCCATTTAACGGCTACACCGATGAGCATAGGTGATTCTCGCTGCGTTGAGTTTCATACATTTCATTAGGTTTCGGTCGAATACGACATAACACAAAATGGCGGACCGCGGGCGCCGAGACAAAGTGAGAGAGAGAGACGATTGTGTAAAAGATTGTAAACAGTGTGTGCGTGTATATTGTGCGTGCACTCACTTTGTTGTCTGCAAATCTGTATTGGTGCCATTTATTTCTATGAGACTGAGACAATTTTCGGAAGACGTGAAGGAGGAGGAATTACCTATTACTTCAAACAAAATAAGACTGGAAAATTTATTCATTACTACCGGATGAACTTATCAGATTATATACGATTCAGAATTTTAATGCGAGATGCAAGCAAACACAAATACTCTGGCGGTAATTATTTTATTGGTAAGAAAATACGATTAGGATGATATACCAAAGATAGAAATTTAAAAAAGCGGACGCAGGAATGTATTACTATTGGCATTTACAAATCGCGAACGGAAAGATTGAATCGTAACTTGCTCAAAAACAATAATAGCACGCGGAAGTCGTTTCGTAATCGATGTTTGATTCGGTGTGTGTACACATTTCAACTTTCAACTTGTAATACGTACTTTAATGACATTACTCAAAGCCACTAAACCCGATATTTCTATATATCCGAGAGCAGACCAATACAATCGTCAATGGAAAACGACCTTTATTTCACAGACAAACAATACAAATCATGCGAATGATTGTTTACGAACTGTAATCCCCCAACGCAAAACAAGAAATGAATTTATATGCTGATAAATATGAATATGATAAATATGTAAATACGATTATTGTACTATCTATTGTATAACTTATTAATTTAGTGTATCTGTGATGAATATTCTTTTTACTAGCGCATAGGTTTTATATAGTTTTAGCCACACCTCCCCCGCGCGCATTATCATCGATATCCGAAGATGTCGGTGTTTTGATTATTACTGTAATTACGTTTTAAATTGATTCATGTTTTTGTTACATAGTACAAATTAATGTTTACGAATGATTGCCGGATAATATGCAGAGGAAGCGAGCGTATGTTTGTATAATTTTTTGTTATGTACAAAATCATTTTTACATAGAACATGTTCAATGTAGACCAACAATATCTTAACAATCTTATTCACTATATTTATGTACTAACTAGATTTTGCAGCCGGGCGCGCCACTCCGGATAACTGCAACCCAAAAAAACTATAAATGAAAAAACGACTGATTAAAAACAAAACTAAATTTAATGAGAAAAAGACAATGAATTTTTGTAAACGTTTACATGCACATCGACGAACGCTACGTACGAAAACAATTCGACATTTTACTATAATAAGCATTGGAGTTGCACTTATCCGAGCGGCTTTCATTGGTTACTAGCAATTTATTCACTGAGTACCTTTAAATAGAAATAGATTTAATACTTTTTTTTGATTTTCCTACAACTACTTATTTATGTAACAATGAAAAGATACTTCTTGGTAGATTTAATTCGATACAATTCATGCAGAGTGTTGTTTTACACATTCAAAAACAATACGAAACAAAAACTAAAGGCAAAAAGTGTATACAAATAAAAATACAAGTTGAAAATCTGTAATATTTGTTTGTAAAACAACGGAATAAACCAATTTTTATTTACTTAACCTAAGACACAAAGAAAAGATCCGCCATTTTGCAATTGTATCTATTAATCAACGCCACCCTGTATATATGTGTGTGTGTGATGTGTGAGTAATGTATATTTTATACATGTTGTTATTCTTATACTTATTCTGTATACTGTATACATGTGTACATAAGTTTTATTGATCAAACTGAAAAGGTTGTGTTAGTTTACAACGCAAGTGATTAATTAATATAAAATATGATAATGTTGGATGAAAGGATCTTGGAATAAGTTTGCCAGTCAAATTATTCATCATTCATTGAACTGCAATATGAATTCGTTTGATTTTTCAATGTAAATGAATTCTTATTGTAGCACAATATCCTTGATTGTTGATGATGATGGTTGATGATTCAACAAAATAGAATTTAATCAATTTAATACTATCGACTATAAAAAATATCGAACTCAGACAAATATTACTTTATTTTAACATTGTATTTTTGCTCGCACGAATCGCCAATGGCAACCTGCTGCCTCCTCCTCTCGCCTCTTTCACCTTGACTAGCTGATTCTGATCGCGTGTCTCTGCGCTGCGCAGGTAATAAAAGATATGTGGAGAACGTGTTAAATTATATGCATTTTATAGTTTATATACCGAGTCGGAAGACGCAGGTCGCCATTGTCACGGCGCTGTAAATAGAGCAGCATCATGCTTAAATATGTTACATTATACATTTGAATGTTTTCTTGTTTTTGGTAATCTTATAATTACGCTCTCCTGTTAGTTTATTCCAATTTTCTCTTGCTTCGCGCATTCTGTAATCATGTAAGTAAAATTATTTTTTAATCTTTATCTCTTATTATTGCACTATGTACTCTGATTCTACTCTATATAGATATCTTCGATCGGGTAAGCAGTCTCTATAAACTTTTGATAGAACCTTTGGAAGGCACGCCTGGAATTAAAACAACGTCGATGTTTTTTAATGTTTTTAAGTTTTTTTAGAGAAGATTGATTACTCACCCAACTCCTTCAGCAACTGGTCGCGTCGAATCCGTGCCCCTAAACACGTGGCAAGCGAATCTTTGAAGTGTAGGATGTTTGGTGATGAAACCAAGATAGCGGTGATCGCGAGGATGAAATGCGCAGAACGAGACGTTCTTGAGCGAGTAGAAGTAGTCTATACATGGATTATCAGACTGCAAATATCATAAATCATTAATAATCTTTTAGGAAAACATATACAATGCAACATACATTTCTTTTTCGTCTATCTACCATGCGTAAACCTTGATCGGACACTTCCAAGATACATGGCTGCGGTTCCGGTTCAGTACCACTATTACCAACCACACGCCGCACGGCCTGACACACCACCGACGTCCCCTTGTGAGCAAGTGTCTCCACCGAACCTAAATACCCCAACAAATAACGCTCGCGTCTGCCATGTTCGCAGGACGAGTCCCAATCGCTGTAGTCACTGTCGACAGCATACGCAGATGGAAATATACCCATTCTACCAGTGCGTAGATTAACACCCTCACACCATAAATCATCAGCTTCTTTTTGAACATAAATCGGATCGCCAATCTCCACATCGATTTCATCTTCGTGCCGCGGAATAAACTTGTGCAAACCACGATGCGTCGCTTCTAACATGTCTACATCGCTGTAGGGCACACCGCCGCCTGTACCCGGAGACATCCCCAGTAATGGGGACATAGATTTTGGACCATCTGTGGGCGAGTGTGCTGTGCTGTGCCCACTGTCGGCGTCTGTCAGTAGACGATCTGAATCCGGCGAGTCGCTGTCCCACAGGTGACATTTCAATACAAGCAAGGAACTGGGACCACTGCTGCCTGACCCACAACCACCCAATTCATCAGCAAGCGATAACTCACGGGATAACTGGTGTGCGTTTATAAGAGACACAACCGCAGCTAAAATTTTTCAGGATCATAAAAATTTTTATCACTACGAGAAGTAAATAACTTACGTTTTTTGTTTTTGGGAATCTCGGGTAGTTTTCTTCTCCGTCGCTCGCCTGGCCCGGTCCAGGGCACAGCAGCCCGTGGCCCTTGCGCATTCTCCTGCTGCCTGCTGACTCCTTGCGTATCACAGTCTGTTTCCGGGTCGCTCTTGGAAGACGTCGGCGACTCCTCGTCCACCAAGACATCGTGCACTAATCTAAAATATTCGCGCGGGTCAAAGCAATATGAATAAACCATTCGTGGATACACAAATCCTGTCATAAATGACAGGACTCTTCCGCAGCACTCTGGCAGGATCTCTTTTCGCACACATCAATAATCGCAGTACTCACGAGTAAAATGGAGCCGCCTGTTTGCTGGTCGTGTGTAGTGTCCTCTCAAAACTATGTCCGAATTCTTCGAACTCGCTATCTGCCATGTTTATGTTGTTTTTCGCGTGCGTGTGCCTTAAAAGCTAGTATTGATTACAGCGCGCCATGACACGCTGTGCGGCGCATGTGCCAAGGGGGTGGCGGAGAGTGCGCGGCGTGGAACGCGCGCGCTTCTGCAGAACAACTACCCCCGTTCAGGCCTAGGGAAATCCACCCACGCGGAGGGAAGATATCTAGGGCTTTAATTCGTTTAGTCGACGAAATCAAAGTTATCATTCACAGAATGATGCAGAGGAGGTGTATGCATTGAAACAAGATAAATTATGTTATGCGTTACGCCTAGTTAGTTTACAAAGACGCTCTTGATTATCGTGCAGAACCTGCAGTGTCAGAGACGTTTGAATTAAACCAGAAACGGGAACAAGCAACATGCGGGTGGGAATTGTGCAGGATCATTGATGAAACCAATTTGCTCCGAACTTTTCTTCTGGTAGATTAAGTTTTAGGTTGTGTTTTTATGTTTTGTTTTTTATAGGCAACCGATTGTACAAAAAACACTTCAGAAGATGATTTTGTGTTTATATGCTGTCCGAAAATAGAATTTTTGGTCATTCATGACCACGATTGAGCATCATCAATCAACAATCCGTGAAAAGGGTGAAGTGATACAGTTCATTAGCACACCTCGCCACTCGACCGGCGGGCGCTCGTCTCGATTCAGATAAATGTGGAAATGAAAAGTAGAAAAGGGGAAAACAGAGGTGGAATAAAAATGTGGGTTACGTCGCTTTCTTCTTGCGGTGGGCGCTAAGTAATTGAAACCGTTTTACGTTGGGGTTCGCTCTCGATGAATAAACCATCGACTTTTATTCGCGCACGGAAACTCATCGGCACGTTGCTTAAATAAAATCTCAAGAGAATCTATTACAATTCTTTGTTTGCGTTTAAGACAAACACAAGATTTTTCATTTGAGGCCTGTATTTAAACTTTAATTTAATGAAAAAGAATCCTTTGTAGTTTTTAGTAGTGTAATTTGAAGGTTAGAAATAGTAGCTATTCTTTTTCATGATGCGCAACTGGTGTCATCATTGATCCATTGGAAATTGAAAGCAATGTCAGTGTGAACAATGTCATTGTGTTCTTATATTCTTTGAGTGTCGTATATAAAAAGTATATACAACCTACAAATACACCGTTGGGCCTGATGTAATCGAAACTAAAAATAAATTTCGCCGAGTCGCGCATCCCTCGCGAGAAGAGAAGCGAGGCGGTGAGAATCGCGTAAAACCGTGATTCTGCCAATCATGACCGGGTAAACGTGCGCTGCGCGACTTTGCGTCGTCAAACCCTCTATAAAAGGCCAACCGAGGCCCAGGAAGCGCTTCAGTTGATCGCCATTCGTGTTACACATTCACACCTGATGAAATATTAAAATCAACAACTTAAAATCTGTTAAACAAAAGTGAATAAAAATGAGTTCCGGTAAACCCTTGCTGGGTTTGTGGCTGTACCGCAGCGAAGAGGATTGGAGTTACAAAGAGGACGTGCCCATGCCAGCGGTCAGCACAAAGGTAATCACTGATTGCGCAAAGAAACTCATTTCTCACTACAACGCTCACGCTTTGACTTTGACCACGGCACGCACCATGAAGGCGGCTCCCAAACCTGCTGATCCTAAGGCTCCACCCAAATTGGAAAAGATCTCCGTTATATTTACACTGAAGAACAAAGTTGGCGGATTGGTACGGGCACTTCAGTGCTTTCAAGATTTGGGAATCAACGTAGCACACATTGAATCCAGACCATCCATCACCGAAGACAATCAAGTTGATTTCCTCGTAGATGTAGAATGCGAAGCAAAAAAAGTGGAACAACTCGGGAGACTACTACGTCGGGAAGTGGTCACTATGGTCATCGGGACCTATGGAGATGGAGAAAACGATAAAAGTTTTCCACCACCTACACCATTATCGGCAGCTGCTAGTTTTGGTAACAACAAACTCATCTTCACAATAAAATTTTTGATTTCAAAAAAAATAATTAAAAACAGATTTTGATGAAATGCCGTGGTTTCCCAAGAAGATCTCTGACCTTGATCAAGCACAGAATGTCCTAATGTACGGCAGCGAGCTGGACGCAGATCATCCCGGCTTCAAGGACCCAGTCTATCGGAAGAGACGCGAACACTTTGCTCGCATCGCACACAACTACAAACAGTAAGTACCGCCGGCGTCTTGAAAAACACTCTCACACTTACTCCTTGAGTGAGGATGAATGTATTGATAATTGACGCACGGCTAATGTGATTAATTAGCACCCATCTTGCTACCTTTCAGGGGCCAGCCGATTCCACGCGTGCAATATACCGAGATGGAAACTAAAACCTGGTAATGCATTACGTAATTAAATTAAACCTAATAACTTATTAATTATTACCACTTGAAACGTTTTTAAGGGGTATTGTCCTGAATGAATTGTACAAACTGTACCAGAAACACGCGTGTAAAGAATTTTTGGAAAACTGGCCACAGTTGGTTAAGTATTGCGGGTATCGCGAGGATAATATTCCGCAACTGCAAGATGTTAACGCGTTTCTTAAAAGAAAGACCGGTTTTCAAATACGACCGGTTGCAGGATATTTAAGTCCGAGGGACTTTTTGTCTGGGCTCGCATTCAGGTTGTTTCACTGCACCCAGTATATTAGACATTCGTCGGATCCATTCTACACTCCTGAACCGTAAGCATTACAATTGTTATAATTGAAATAAGGTGCTAATTATTGTTTAAATTTAGTGATTGTTGTCATGAGTTACTTGGTCACATGCCCCTACTGGCAAATCCTAGTTTTGCACAGTTTTCTCAAGAATTGGGCCTCGCGTCTTTAGGAGCTTCTGACGCAGATGTAGAAAAACTGGCCACGGTATAACTCAATTAAATTCAAGTTGCTTAAGCATTTCATTTGTTTAATTACTTTTGTAGTTGTATTTCTTTACGGTGGAGTTTGGTTTGTGTAAACAAGATGGCGAACTACGTGTATATGGCGCTGGGTTATTAAGTTCTGTTGCGGAACTACAACACGCGTTAGAAACGCCAGAGAAAATCAAACGCTTCGATCCAGAAGTGACATGCCGAGAAGAGTGCATTATCACCGCGTATCAAAACGCCTACTATTATACAGACACATTTGACGAAGCCAAAGAAAAAATGAGGTTAGTTAACCTATAATCACCTCAAAAAAATTAAATTAATTTTTTTAGGACCTTCGCTGGAACGATCCAACGTCCATTTGGCATTCGTTACAACCCATACACGCAAAGCGTAGAAGTCCTAAGCAACGCCCAAAAAATAACAGCTTTGGTTTCTGAGCTACGTGGAGATTTGTGTATCGTAAACGATGCATTAAAGAAAATCTCCGCACGAGACTCAACACTGGACGTTGATAAAATAGCCAACTTGTTACAAGTAGGCCTCAATACTACAGATGGCGCTGAAATGACAAAACCCGACGAGCTATGCTAATCTACCTAACCTCATAACATAACCTTCGATGTGTATTTCCCTGTAGTTGTTCCAAAATATTAGAAGTGTGTAAAAAGTATCGATTCATCAGTCTTTATATCACAAAATATTCACAAAATTAAAACATAACTAATGTCTGGACTTAGGCGTCTCCGCCCAGTGCGGCCATGTAATCAACTCTTCATACAACATTTGACCCGGACTCTCCGTGACAGACAATTGTCTCGAGGCGTATAGCTTATAATCCGGTTGGATGTACGACTCGTTAACCCCCAAGGCGATTAAGTTACGTGCGGCGTTGAGTTGTCTTTGCGGTGGCATATAATTGGTAAAAGTACCAACAAACGCAATACCAATACTCCTCTTATTGTAGAACTTCGTGTGGGACCCTTCGGAGGTCCAACCGCGTCCCTCGTAGACATACCCGTCTCCACCCACGAGGAAGTTGTAACCTATATCCCACCAGTTTTGGGATAACATGTGAAAACGTTGTATGGACTTCACCAACAGCGTGCATGATGATTGGTCTGTACAGTTTTCAGTTGCTGAGTGCCATATGACCACCATAGGTACTGGAGTTGTAAGGTTGTCCAAAGCTTGCTTTGGAGGTTGTGCCAACCACTCACGACGTAGAATCATCTTCACTCGTTGCGGAGGAAGCTCAGCAGGATCTATAATTGGGTAAATATCAACAATGTTGCATTATTTTGATTGAATAATGAGTTAAAGTTTAATGTTGACCCAATGGGGCCATGTTTTGATCTCCTCATACAACGCCCTGCCTGGATTGCGCACCGCGTCCACCTGCCGCGCCCCAATCAGCTTATAATTTGCTTGTAGGTACTTAGCTTCCACCCCGTAATTAATTAACTTCATCAGAGTATCTAGTTGTTCTTTTCCGGGTAGATAATCTTCAAAAGTACCAATTAACGCTATACCAATACTCCTAGAGTTGTAATTGAAGGTGTGTGCACCCTCAGATGTCCATCCCCTTCCAGCATAGACATTACCATCTCCTCCAACAAGGAAATTGTAAGATATATCCCACATTTGTTTGCTATCAATATGATAGGTCTGTAGATATCTCACGAAGAATATACAATCACCGATGGTTGTACAGTTGAGTGTATCCGACTGATGGATGATGACAAAGGGCGTTGGTTGTTTCAGTTGGGGCGCGGGTTTGGCAGGCGGTTGCGCCACCCAATCGGTGCGTGTGACCAAGTTATACGGCAAGGGCGTTTCTATAACGTGCAGGTTATGATTGATGCATGAATACAATTTATATAATCAACACGTAATTGTGTTTTATTACCAAGAGGTGGATCGACTGAAGGTCGGCCGAGTTGTTCGTCGCTATCAGTCGGGTATCTGTTTGATGTGTTGCCACCGCGCAGTAAAAGAAACAACAGCGCAATCATTCCAATGATAGCAAGTGTGCAGACTATCGCTGTTATAAGCAACGGTTTGTTGTATCCTAAAACAAACAAATTTCATTACATCTCGGTTACACTTTGCAAATAAATGTGGACATTTTTCTCCTATTTGCTAATTGCGTGTGTAGCCTTTTGTTTTCATTTCAAGTCGAGTTAATTTTAGATTATATTGTCGATGAGTTATGTGCAAATGCAAATATGTGAGTAATAAAACCCAGCAGTCTTTGTGATAATGATAAACAAATTGGTTTCGCGTGTGTGAATTGACGCAGATAATAATTCGGATTATTTCTGTTGACACATGAAGGTAGCTGCTATTATTGCGTGGTGATGATATGGATAATAGAAAAATTTCACAGACAGGAAACAAGATTACAATCTGATATTTTTTATCGCTTAGTTTGTAATTATCGGTTTTGATAAGAACAAATCGCAATAATAAGTTGCGCTGCAAACGTGTTATCGCGCAAATTACCAAAAAAATACAATAAATAAATAATTGCATGCAGTAAACACCATCGTGACTTGAATAGTAATTTATTTATTAATTTTAGCGCTAGTTTTTCGTGGAAGTAGACGGAATGCTCAACTGCTCAGCACACACGTCAGTTAGATCGTTTATTTATGCAAATTCAATGTAAATAAACTGCGAACGCTTAAATTTTTTGTCTACATTGTTAAAATAAGATACGAGAACTCACTTAATTTGCTAATGTGAGCCTTGAGGTTGTTTTCATTTTTGTCTCCGGCTTTGTCCGTTTTGTTATCAATATCTGTACTATCACTTGTGTCTTTATCACATTTTAATGTCCCGTTGGTCAGCGCGCCGCCATTTTGCAGCACGTCCGGCACTTCACCGCCACCATTACCAGCGTATACGATCTTTTTTATCGTCACTGGTCCTTGATAAATGTTCTTTGTCCCCACATGAACATCACTCGAATCCGACACGAAAACATTCGGTGTATTATTGTCATTTCCGGATGGGTTCACTGCAAGGGCATTATCATAGCCCATACTAGGTTCATTCTCATCACTATCACTAGAGCAATCCGAAGATTGTATATAGGTTACGTCTTGTTGTTGATTGAGGTGAACTTTGTGCGGGTGCAGGTCCAGAATGAGGTCGTCCCCGCCCTGGCCGCCATCTTGGGTCGGCGGCCGTACGTCAGGCACTTCCGAGACCATTTAGTCGCCCGCCGCTGCCGCAAACCAGCTTCAGCGAAGCGTGATTAGCTTATTAAAATTATCGAGTGCTATCGCAGCCATGGCGAAAGCGACACTGCGGTTTAGCGAGCCGACAAAATTCCAGTAATCGCTGGTGGGAGGATTGACGCCATCACACACACACGCGCGCACATATACACGCGAGCACCAGTTTCGAGCTCAAGCTAAACCAAGGTCTTGCAATAAACAAGTCACTGGTGATCATAACAATTAATATTTATACAGGTCCTTTTCGTGCACGCAAGTCCACGCTCACTGTTTGTTGCATAAATAAATGCTAATTTTAGTTCGGTCCTGGTTTTACGTAAAATCCCAAGTTCATCATCACAACATCACAAATAACCTCAGATAACCCATAAAGCCTCACTATTTGGTCACAGAATTGACCAGTAAACTCAGTTCGGAATCTCAATATAGTCTTTGTCATAATAATGCTCCCATTTTTCAATTTCACAGCGAATTTTCATTCCGGGACTCATCGTGCCCCCAGTCTGACTGTGACTCAACAATATGTAATCCTCCCGTAGGGCTCCCCACACCAACCCAGTGGTGATAAGCTTCTGCAGCGCCATTTGCATCTTCTTCGTAAACTCATCGTATGAAAAGTTGCCTATGAACGCCACAGCTATACTATGATTCTGCAAATAGTTTATAGCGTTCCAATCTCGTCCCACGTAGATGTTACCATCGCTGCCAATCAAAAAATTGTACCCAATATCAGGGGATCTGTGATCCACCGCATAGCTTTGCAATGATTGCAGAATTCCCGCACAGGTTTCCAGTGAAAAGCAGGGTCTGCTCACGGTGTGTGCGACTATTATATACTTCACTGGTGTTTCCAACAACCGGACGCTAAGCGGAGGTCGTGCACCCCACATTCTTCTTGGAATCATTTGAATTGCCTCGGGATCGAAGGGTAAAGTCTCGTTGTCGTCGTTGTCGTCGCTGGAGGTCGGACACTGGTCGGACATATTTTTATCAATATGTGCCGTTGTGAAGGTAGCATCAGTGCTTGAATCCTGTATGAATATTATCGCAATCGACACGGCAAGTGCGAATGACACCACAGTAATCGCGATTAGGATAATGTTGAATAGTTTTCGACGAGTTTTGAACTGTCTCCATAATGACCATTTATTTGGCGTGCCTGTAATCAGCAACAATAAATACTTCAAGCATAACATAACCAAACTAATAAACTATCTAGTGTACCGTTATTATCTTTTTGTTGATGTTTCGATGTGATAACATGGTTATCACAAGCATTTTCTTTGTGTAGATTCACATCTTTTGATGATGGAAGAGATCCTCTGGAACTATTAATGCTGGAACCGTCTTGTGCGTTTTGAATGATGGTAACCGGACAATGAAAATGTGTGACCGGACCAATGACCACGTCGTTTGAGTTTTCCACAATGTACGTGTTTTGATTGAGCATTAGATCGTCAGCGGCCATTTGAATTTGGTTGTCGTTCGAGAGCACACATCCGGTAGGCTCGTTTGCGATTGTGTACCGATCAACGTTTGAACCGAGATTTGGACTGAGGCACACACTGGGGACGACGTCCGTCGAATACTCCGATTGTTCGATCGTCATTTTGGTTCTTGGTGCGTGTGATTTACCAGCAATGTTAACCAGTGCAAAACGCGCGACGATCGCGTGTTATCTGCTGACGCCGTAATTGTGATTCACATCGTAACCGTTCATTACGGATTGAGTTGTGGTAGAATATTTTCAAGTTTTGTGCTAATGTATTCCCCACTCGCGCAAGGATAAAAACTGCGCGTTCGCGTTATATCGTCGCACCTCGGACTCGGGACTCAAATTAACAATTAAAATTTGAGATTCAAATAATACTTTACAGATAAGATATGTTTCTATGTTTATATTGGTTAATGAGCGTTATGAGTATTAGAAAGACCCGGTAGTTATACATTTTGAGTGTAATTGATTATTGAATTATCTATAATACATTGATTTATCGAAATCATGCCATGTATTCTATAATTATACAAAATGGTTGAGATAAAATGTTATTTTAAGCAACAAAATTTCCAAAAAGAGGGAAAATGACAGTGCACAAAAATAATAACAACAATAGGTCACATTTAATTTATTTTTGGAAGGAAGGGTTATAATTAAAATTATATACATAAATAATTAAATTCCTTGAAATTATAATTTAATGGTAATTTCATTCGACATTCTGTAATCTACATGTAGATACATCACACTTGTGACAAAGCGTGCCCTAAATTTATGTGACGGTGCTACTTATTACATTTAATCAATTAATATAAATTAATTAATTTTTTTATATTATTTAAATAACAGAAAGGAATAATGATCGAGAGATAAATATAACATACAAAAACTATTTATAAATCAAATTGTAGGCAACTCAACATACAGCAGTCATTGCGCACGCTGCAGGCGCAATAGAATGCAATCATGCAGAGGTAGGCACGAGTCGGTCTGTTGGGTTGTTATTCCAGTGATGATTTTGGGATGACTGCGAGACATCACATTTTAATCGGAGCAATTGTATCATACATTGTGTGCAATTTGTCACTTTGATGTTTTGACAAGACTTTATTACACGTGAATATTCGTACAACAGTTTAATTTGTGGTAAGAATCAAATAACTCTTTACCAGATAATCTAATATTTCATCTATCTGATATGAATTTTGTTTTCAATTTGTATTTGTAATAATATTTTCGTATTCAGTGTGTACTGCGGTTCATCAGGCCGCTAAGGTGTTACCCATCACACTCGCAACAGAACCCGACATTACAGGATACAGGTACTTGCATCAAATTATAAATAATAATTTTATTTATTATTTACATTACTATCTTTTGAGATCATTTCCCCGCGGATGCCAGAAAAATTTAACTATTGTGTATCAAAGATCAAATTTTAAGAGTTTTCAAGTGAATGCATTTTTGCCGGTTAGTGTTTGCGTCACTCAACATTGGGGATCACACAAGTGGCAATTGAGTTGTGTTCGTTCAAATCATTCAAATGTTGGTAGCTGTAATACAATAGCAAACTCAAAACTAGTATGTGCCGTCAAAATTAGATGGCGCTAGTGTGCACGCTACTTTCTGGCGTCAATTGTTTCGTATTGCCGATATTAGATGGCGCAGTGTCGGCAGCATCTGCGCTTTTGTAAAGGCGCATGTGTTTCATTTGCTTTTCATTTGCTTCTGGCAGCAACTTCATACACTTTGTCGGATTATAAAATCCGAGCCTTTTGGTTCTAATCCCGCGTGAAATCGAAAATTCAGTGGTTTTATCTTTTGCGCGCCTTTATGCCGCCGATTGCCACCCGCTATATCTTTTCAGTGGCTTCGAATTCTTATCGGATTTTTTTGGTCAGCATTATTTAAATATTAATTCGTGGAAAAATCCACGAGTGTTCCCGGTGGTAAGATTGTCAGCACAAAAGTACTAAGAGTGAGTAACAGCATTTCAAGTTGCAGAAGCACATTTGTGTACTTTATGGATTTTTTTTTAAATATCTAGAATATGAAATATAACATGAAAGTCGCGTTTTTTGAGTAAAATCGTGATGTTATCATTTGCTATTTTCTAAAATTGTTAATGTAAAATCGTTAATGTAAAATAGCGCAATTTTTCATTAATTATAATAATCTAAATTCTGGCACACCTACCTGTGTCATTCAGAGATGGCACTAGCATGAACTAAACATCATAAAATAGAATTGTATTCTTTATTTCTATATTTATTGGCAAACGTTGTAATTCGGCACGAAAATTGTGTTTGTTTTGAACACAATTTACTTTCTTATCGCTTCCGCCGCGTTGAATGTTACGCATGAGATTCCCAAGTGCCGGCGCTGAAATCCCCTCACGCCGCATGCAGCAGATTCTAGTTTTGTTTAGATCGCCGATATTGTGTCTATTGCAATTCGCGCACAAGGTGGCATCGACGCGCCGGCTTTGCGCATCTCTTGCTTTCTTATCGTAAACTGTCGCGTCGTAGCTTGCTCGGCTACGGCATGCACTATCCGATGGTTGCGCCCAGTTGCGTGCCGGTCACTGGGTGGTTGGGTCGTATTTCTCGCGTCGCGTATCTTTTGTTCGGACCTTTGTTTTCTAAATTTACATTATATTCAATTAGCAAACCACTATTTAATTGTAACTACTAGGTGTAGAGTTGTTAAGTGAATCGGATACATGTTGCCCCCGTGTTGATTTATTCAGCTTAGAACCCATCGTGGAGTATATAAGTAAACAGCACAGATTGTTTGTTTTGTTCGACGTGTAATTATAATATTGTCCAAAAATTGAAAAATGTCACTTTTTAGTACTTTTGGTGGCGATTTTTTACCTTTTACTGTAGGAAATATAATTATTTTATATTTTTATCTGATAGAGAATTTTCCAATATTTCATAATCGGCAATTTCCTGGTTGCTATCTCTTTTAGTTTAAGAGATATTAATTATAGAAAATCGTCGATAAAAATTATTAACTTTCAAGATAGTTAGTTGTCTCTGCCCTCGTTTTTAAGAGTATTAATTCGCGGTAGATTCGATCGGATTGGAGTAAGTATGAGTCTTATCGCCTGTTGCCGCATGCCGTCGCTGCGTACTCGACTTACGCGATGCGCGCGCTTAGGCCTGCACCGGGCGTTCATGGGGTCGGCCACGTTTTTTGCTACTATCGTTTTCGTTGTGAGTTTGGTATTCCTTAAATCGGGTTGAGGTTTTCTTTCGGTAAACTGTATTTTGTGATAATCCACCTCCGATGTTTAGTGATATTGGACGTTCTTGTATGTGTCGTCTGATGGTGTCGTTGTATTCCTGTTCCAGTTGCGCCGGCCGTCATGTTCTGGTTTCAAGGAATTGCGTGGAAGTCGAGAAATAGAGGTAAGTACAGGTTTTCCTCATTTTCCTGTGCTGAAATTGTTGTCTTTGTTGAACTCATCTGGTCGCGCATGCATCGTTCTAGAAGTCTTATTCATACGCGAGCACGCCGGTTTAGAACGATAAGTGATAA